ATTTTAAAAATGTTTAAAACTAAATTCACACACACATTTATATACATAACTTCCTAAGTACTGGAACCAACATTATTATAAATTTAAATTTGATTATTTTCTACTGTATTGTAAAAGTAAATATATAAAAAAGTCCTAAACAGTATATGCAAACATTATGCAGTCCTCTTTGAATTAAATAATTGTAAATGAAAAGTACATTTTATAATATTAAAAAAGAAATAACACACACAGTGGGGAGGGGGATTTATCCAAGCGTACAGTGCAGCGCCAGAAACTCCCTCAGGAACGAACTGCTCACACCTTCGGCAGCTGGGGGTGGATTAGAGTTTTTAACCCGGACTAAGGTTTACCAAGGCCAGCAACACTGACAGGAATTCCTCCCGCCATTGCTGCCAAACAAGGCCCGGCAATGCGGGGAGGAATAAAACATCATAGGTTTTCTTCTGTCCTGTTTAGGCAGAAGTTTTCAGTAATCTGCTGGGCTTCTCTGGAAAACTTTACTAAGACGCATTCAAACAAGCCGCAGCTGTCACTCTGACATCACGTCACGTCTTTTGTGACAGTGCCGAAAGTTTGCTCCCATCTCTCCCAAAGAGCTTTACTGATGCGCCTGCTCTCTACCGTTCTCTGATGGACATGATGGCTTGTCAGCGTTATGCTAGGGTTTTTAAAATATACAGCGAGTTGCGTTATAAAGACCTTTGTGGAGGGGGTGAAAGCTCGAGGGGGGAGACGGCGGACTGAGAGAAAATCCATAACACAAATAAAGCTGTCAGCTGGAACGCAAAGTTAGCAGAAGCAGCTTCGGTGGCCACAGGGAGCAAGTTTATGACTTCAGGTTGCATCCTCCTTTAGACGCTATCTAAGCTTCAATTATCAATACACAATGTTCTTCATCAAACCTACAGGTACTTCAATCAGTTTCTGTCAAAAAAGGCCAGTTGTAACAGGCTCTAGCAGTGTGACTGACCGTGCAGTGCACTAGTTCACTTTCCACCCGCGTCTGCAGCTCCGAACAGCCAATAATCTCTCCTGAGGTGCTCGGCTAATGGATACAGAGAAGTAACGATCAACGTCTCAGACTCAAGTACTGTCATTTCCGTCCAGTGAACACCCTGCTTTTCCCTCTACCACATTTCCCCAGCTCATCAGAAATGGGCCCTTCCTCTCTCTAAGCAAACGCTAGGGTCATTCTTTAAGACAGTCATCACCTCATAACAGCCTGGCACTCTCCCGAAACCCGGTGTGAAGCCTCCCCACACAGGAATCCTTGTGCGCGAAAACCAAAAAACTGCAAAAAAAAAAAATTATGTGCCACTGAGGTCACGGTAAAGAGAAACTGTGCTCAAGAGTTCAAGTGGAGATTTAAATTCACATTGGGAATAAATACACCATAAAAAGACAACGTCTAGCAGCTTCTTAAGCTGCCGGATCGCCGAGACGGCACTTCCGTGCTGCAGTCTGGTCTCTCTCAAAGCTGAAACGGTTAACACCAGACCTTTTCGATATCTAGCTCAACTAATCAGATCAACATTGTCATCTGGAAAACATCCGTCACTCTGGTCCCTTTTTTCTTTATAGTTTTTAATTCATAGATGCTGAAGTTGGTTGAAATTGCTCGGTGTCCATTTTTTGTGTAGTTAGCTCCTTTTTCCCCTTTCAAGGCTCAGAGTTTGAGGAGAAAATGACACCACTCTCCGACTAGTAATAAATGCAGTCCTCACTGTCTAAAAACGTGCTTAATTTATTATTCACATACACTGAAGAATGCTCGGCCTCGCCGTTCCACCAAATAACATCTTCAATTAAAACCACATGTTTTACATTTATCTATGACTGGTGGTTGTCGCTGGTCAACGCCGGAGCTGATGTGTTCAAAGATGCAAACGAGCGTAAAAATTCCAGCCTGACATTTCATGTAGGGTCAGCCGAAATATGAAAGGGAGAACGTAGGCATGACATATTTCACACAAACATGTTTCCGAGAGCAGAGTATGGTTAACAAAAAAAAGAATCCTAATCAGTTAGAGATGGATATGTATTGCTCTTCAAAATGCTTTGGTTAAAAATGCACTTGTGTGAAAACTAACATAATTTTTGGAACGGTAAAAGAGTTTAATGGTGGAAACGCCATGTGATGGTCTAAGGGACAGTGCTTCACGAGAACCAGAGTGCTTTGTGTTAAAACCACCTGTGATGCTGAAAAACTTAAATTTACCTCTAAATCACTTGACTAAGGCTCATCTGAATTTGAAAAGAGCGCACACACACACACACACACACACACACTAAATGCTTTTTGCACATCACACACCGACATATATTTGCATTAGCAGAAAACTGGTTGTTCAAATAAAGTTTCAATCACCAAATGTTCATAAAATATGCATCACAAAGCAACACGTCTTAATGTACACCTGGCAGCAGGTTAGTCTCAACGTCAGCGTCCAAAACAAACACATTCCAGACCTTCTCTTTATACCCAGAAAAATACCCACAGCGGGCTGAATACCAGCCTGCCATGCAATCCACACATTCATCAAAATAACATATTCGAAAGACCTCAGAAAGTGAGGTGTATAAACATGAAGAACAGCATAAAACAATCACTTATCACAAAACAAGTGATATATCAATTATAAAATGAACTGTACAGTAGTCTGGGGTCTGCCGTTAGAAATAGAGTGCTAAAACTATCAGCTGAGGTGTAGCTGTTGCCGCTTGCAGCTGCTTGACGGCCATGCAAATAACTGAATTACCCACTTTACTGCCATTTTCATGCCCTCTCTGAATAAATTGCCATATTCTTTGTCAACTTCATGAATTATCACTTTTACTCTCAGCACATAACATCATTCAATCACGCTACTCATCTAACACACAAGCAGATCAAATGGAAATTGTATTCATCACTTTATGCTTATGTTCATCTACATTTACACGTGTCACATTTCAATTAGAAGGGAATCTGTTTATCGCAAGAGGCTATATATCAATGAACGGACATTGTAGGAACAAACAACTACAGCACAGAGACAAAAAAAAGTCTCAGTTCAAAAAATAAAAGTTTTAGTTCAACAAAAATTATTTGTCTTTCCACACAAATGTGTGTAGCAATAAACTAAATATTATTTAAAGAAAGCAAACTGTCAATAATTCAATTCAATGTTTTTAAATGCCGTTAGTAATAATGAAGATTAAATAATTAAGAGATCAAACTAACTGACAATCTCAGAAACACTTCGATCAAAGTAAATCATGTAGCATTCTCCCTCATTGTTCAATAAAATATTCATCTTGTGATTTAATATAGATTTGCATTGTGCTGTAAATGTCAACAGGGAATTAAGCAAAGATTCACCTATATTTTTTTATGAGATTTAAATGAATTGTGTTAAAAGCTCCATCAATCAATTCTTTAAAACATTGAGATTTACACACACTGCAAGATTATGAGAAAGATGATGATGCATATATGTAATTTTCTTTGACTGATGTAAAGGTTTATTCTTAAAAACCTAGTGCAGAAAGAGTGCAAATTAATAGTGTAGGTGGGTCAACTCTTGAGCTGTAGTTCCCTCTGAAGATTCACTTTTAATGCCCCAGACTCACAAGTTCAAATTGTTGCTAGTTTGTTTTGTGTTAGTTTTGATGTTGCGAGTATTTGAGGGCGAAACAAACAGCGCTGATGAAAAGAATAGTAATCCATCAAGGTTTAAAACTAAAAGAAAAAGTTAATTGTTCATCCATCTGTGTAAAAAATGATTCACTAAATAAAGACATTAGGTTTTGCATCACTTAAGTTAGTCAACAATCTGTCCGTTAAATCGTATTGGCGAGGCGAAAACTGAACAATTTAAAAAAAGATGCATATTATTTGAAGTGCAAAGTTAATACTTTTTCATCTGTGTTTGAAATATTATTTTGCATGTCTACAAACCTTACTAATGTCACTGTATCTCGCGATAATTTATGCATCTGAATTATAAATAATCATGCATGCAGAGTTAATCTTATTTTTATATTTCTTTTATTTAATGCGTTGCATTTTCAAGAATTGTCTCAGTATAACACAACGGTACAATCGACACTAAACACCACGAATAAACTTCAATACATTTCCTTTATTTATTTTCACGTTCCGCTATAATAAATTATTTCTTAATGCTGTATCTTATATAAAATTAAAACTTACGACTCAGAAGTTGTGGGTTATTTGCCTAAAATCAGATTACTATTTGCTGAGGGCCTGTTAAAAACAATCAACTAGACGAAGAATTAAAAAAATTGAGCCAATTTACATAAAATAACCGTAATATAACTTTTTAGTTTACATGCATATTTCGATGTTGTTTATTAACTTAAATTGTTTATACGGAGAGTTTTGTTGCCAGGGTCAAGCAATAGTATTTCTACATTTCTGTGGAAGAAGCATATGGTCTTTGAGGGGAAAAAAGTACACACTAACATAGAATTATTCCAAATTATTTGAACTGATCTGTCAAAAAGTCTCTCTCTCTCTCGTTTTGATCAGATTTCAAAGCAGGAATTATTTTCAAACAAAGCTGCACATGTTCACTAAACTTGTTTTCAGTCTTTTTCACGATCGAGGTCTAGTTTTTATGTAAAACCCTTCCACGTTATTAATTATGTATTTAATCCAAAATGCAGATATATAATTCATAATCGGTTATTATTCACTCGCAGAGAAAAATTACACAAGCTTTCATCTCGGGTTTAAAAGTATCGAGTAAAAAAGTTACATTGTCTAATCTATTGTGATACCAAGAACTTTAGTTTGCAAAACATCTACGAAAATACACTGACTCTAATATTCCTTTCTAATGATCTGAAGAAGTGTGTGTGATAACGCGTCCGTACATTCAAATCTGGGATAGCCTACATATATATATTAGTATTAAAAACGCTTAATCTCGCGAGGAGCAAATAAGAAGAAGAAAGGAAGAAAAAAGAAGAAGTAAAAAGTGGATATGAACCTGTTAGGATATTGTGAAGAACTCTACTTTCACTCTACGGCTGGACCATGTGGATGCGTCCCTCCAGCTCTCGTGAATGTCCCAGTGATTCCAGAACCTTCAGAAGAGCAACGCAAAAGGGAACCAAAAAATCCTGTTCTATGAGTGATGTCTTCAGACCATTACTTTCAACGACAACTGTCTTTAATAGTCTTCCTTTCCTGTTTTGACTGTCTTCCTCTCTCAGACTGGTCACTCAGTTGGGTGATAAGTGGAAACAATAATCGTGCACTAGCTCAAAGGCTGCATGGTCACAGCGCTCCCCAAAGTTCATGAAGAACAAGCCCGCGGCTCTTTACGCCTCCTCGTCGCTTCAGGTCTTCTCGGTTTCTTTCAGTTAGTCACACGGTGAGGTTTCCTAAAGTCCCAATAATACTTGTCGCTGGAGTTTTGGGCATCTCGTCTGTTCCTCGCTCATTCGCAGAGAAATCAGTGTTGGATTACTCCGCTCGTGTCTTGTGTTGGCGATGTGTTAGGGGACAGTTTTATCTACCGTAATGCGTCTAGAACAGGCGCAGCCGCTTAAGTAGCACAATACAAACCTCGCGCGCTTCAGGCGATTGAATCTGATCTCTTCACCTGCGCGCGCATCGCGGGGTTTAGTTTGGCCATTGTGGCAGCCGACGAGCAACAGATGTTAGGCAAAGGACAGACTCACCATTGGAACCGTTACCTACTCCTCATCTACTCCTCAGGAAATAACAAGTCTGATCTTGCTGCTTGCCATCATTCAATCATAGTTTGATTTCGTTGTCAATAATTGTTCTAAACTTAGAATCAGGTGTTCTAAATATTCTTATTATTGTTATTATGATTAATATTAGAATTATTATTTAAAAAGTATATAATCATCATTAATATTATTGATAGTTATATAGAGATAGAGATAACAGTGTACAGTACAATAAGTTACATAGGCCTATTTATTGTAATATATTTCTAATTATGATATATTGATATATTATATATTTATTGTGTGTGTGTGTGTGTGTGTGTGTGTGTGTGTGTGCAGGTCTATATATATGAATGTATGTATATGTATATGTATGTGTATGTATGTTAATATTATTATGGCACTCATGACCATGTGAGCAAGTTGCTGATTTATGAAAATCACTCCAACTTTTAATGGATACTCAAGGTGATGCTTTATCAGTAATCTGTCATCTTATCAAAAATGTTCAAATATGATTTATTTTATGGTCAGTGGAAACTATCTCTCAGCAAAAATCCTCTTTTACTTGAACCATCAAAAAAGGCAATAATTCACATCGCCACTGGACAATAGGATACGACCCCCATTAGTCAAGACATATTCATTAGAAAAATCAATAATCCAAGATGTAGCCATGCTGGCCTAAAATTAAAGCAGCAGGCTCATAAAACAATGCTGACTTCACTTCTATGTCCTGCCATATGGACCTCAGAGTCTTGGCAGCAAAAAAAAAAAAAAAAAGATTAAAGTTTAAGACGGTATAGCTTTAGATTTAGAAAAAGTTATTTGTCCACTTTTTGAAGTTACTACCGTGTGTTTAAACACAACACTCTGATAATGAACTTTGCACCCAGATTAAAAATAAAAAATAAAAATTAATACACTTTAGAACTACACTGAATATTTTGAGGAACAAAAGAATATGCTTAAAACTGTTTGGATTGTGTGTGTGTGTGTGTGTGTTCCTACTTAACCATATTTTGGGGACAAATTTGTACCCAAAAGTGAGCTAAACCTGACAAAATATCCAAAAATCTCTCTTTGGGGACGTCCTCGTTTGTAAAACTGGTATAAAATAAAGTAAACTAAGTTTTTTTGAGAAAGTAAAAATGCAGAAAGTTTCCTGTAAGGGGTAAGGTTTAGGTGTAGGGTTGGTGAAGGGTGATAGAAAATACAGTTTGTACAGTATAAAAACCATTGCGCCTATGGAATGTCCCGATTTAGATAGCTAAGTATACATTTGTGTGTGTGTGTGTGTGTGTGTGTGTGTGTGTGTGTTCCCCATCAGATTAACAAGATTCAACACACACAAACACAGATTTACAAAACTTGTTTTGCCTCACGCACATGGTCTAGCATGACAAAGACTGTGGTCCAAAAGGTACCCTGTGCCCATGGTAAGATGGACAGATGGAGATTCGGTCTGCTCACCATCACGGGGTTAAGATTAAACACTCTTGTGGTTTGGCAATCACAGGCTAATGAGGCAGTCATGAAAGGATTACAAAGAACCCATAGGATGACTGACTCTCTGACTAACCTACATACAGTACAGTTCACCTCACACAAGCACACACACACACACACACACACACACAGAAACACACCTGCAAGCAAGATCGCAGCTGGATATATATAAGAGATGGATTCAGAGTTTGAACAAACCCAACAAAGATCAATTTTAACAAATTTCCATTGGACTTTCATTAAAGGGGTCATATGATGCTTTTTTAAAGATCATTATTTTGTGTATTTGGTGTAACAGAATATGACATGCTTTAATGTTCAAAAAAGACATTATTGTAAGTCCTCTATGCCCCGCCTCTCTCAAACGCTTCGTTTTCTACAAAGTCCCTCCTTCCGACAAGCGCAGTCTGCTCTGATTGGCCAGCTGACCCAGTGCATTGTGATTGGCCGAACACCGCAAGCACTCGTCGGAAATGTAACGCCCCTTACCATAATCGCAAGCTTCATCTTTCAAAATAAATGTAAAGACAGAGCCCGAAAGGGGAACAGAGTCTCGTGACAGACACAGTGATGAATATATGTTTGCAGCACACAAGCCACGGTTAAGACAGCTGACTCCACTGTGATGTGTCTCGCTCACTCTCTCTTGCTCGCTTGCTCGCACACACACGCACACGATGCGCAAAACTCCGCATTTGAACAGTCAATAGCAAATACTCAAACTAATAACAAAACAGTAGCTGATTCAGAATGTGGCATTGTAGGCTCAGACACTGCAAAAAAATCATTTTAACTCAGAAATTGCTAGTAAATGTCACAAATAATTGGCAAGTAACACTGAATTAAAAATAAAATTTTGAAGTATAAAGACTGAAATAGTATTTTCTTGTAAAACATACTTTAATAATCTTGGTTTTATTTACAACTTTGAAAAATCATTTTTACAGTGTACGTCTTTTGGTTCATTTAATAATCAACAGCATGAATGCATTGAGATCTGTCTCTTATTTCTACATAAAATGTCCTATGTGTTAATGAACTTTCACATTTTTAATGGGCAAAATGAGTCCATTAAAATTGTACTTCCGTTCACACAGACTCGGTAAGCCATTTTGATTAGTATTGTTGTGACATGCCATCATATGACCACAAGGAGGGTGAATTCTCACTCAGCTAAAGACCTGAATGTTTGTTACCTCATCAGTCCCAAAGCTGACATCAAAGCTGAGGGTCAAGTCCAAAAGTATCAACGTTACACACTGTTACGCTCCCTAAGAACCACCCATGCATACTCACACATACAGACAATTGGATTTAGTTTGTATTTTTACTATATAAACAGTATAAAAAGATATTGTGTACAGTGGACTTAGTTTCATCTCTTCTCTGCTGCAACACCACCAGATCCCGGTCACATGGAAAACAACACATCTATTTACTGTATGTTGTTTGTTTACTCGTTCATCTGTTTGTTATTTTCAGAATGTTTCTCACTCCCACCAGGCAATGGGATATTCGGTGGTGGTGATGCTATCTGCATGTCTGTTTGTTTGTTTACTTGTTTGTGCTGGTATAATGTCCTTGGGGGCCGTAAACAAGAACAATAAAGCATGAAAAAGAAAACCCCTTCATGGTCTATGAGGGCATTACTGGACTAAAGCAAGGACACTGCAAGTGATCAAGAGCAGCCCTTCAGACATATTACAGTTGAAGACAAAGGTGAGTATCTTACTCACTCTATAATCTCATAACATTCTCTTTTATGAATGAAAAAATTAAAAATAAAAACTCAGCACTTTCATCTAGCACTTTCGATTAACATTTAAGAGCAGGCTTTGTGGTTAATCAGGGGTAATAATTATCAAAGTCGACAGGTAATTAAATTAAACATAATTGGCTACAAGAACTGGCTGTACTACAACATTTTCCCCCACATAATTAAAGAGAAATATGTCAGTATTCAGAGAGAGAATGACTTAAAAACAAAAAAAGTGTTTAGTCACACTAGATAAATTGATTATGCTTACAAGGAGTGTTAAAACTGATAAAAAGTATCTAGCATTGAACTTTAGCAATCTGTTTAGTCCATAAACGAACCACTTTGATGAAATTCTGGGTTCAATGCAAGTTAAGCTCAATTGACAGCATTTCTGGGATAATGTTGATTACCACAAAAAAAGCATAAACTTAATCAAAATTAATAAAAAATAATAAAATTGTCTTTAAAAAATAAGGTTACGGTGTGGTAATTACAATGGAAGTGAATGGGGTCTGTTTTTTTTGGAGAATTTGAAGAGAAATGTGATTTGAGAAATGTGAAATCTTATTTTATAAAATCGCATAACATTTTTTTCTAGTAAAATTTGTGAATTATGTGCACTGTAAATTTGTTAACATAATGTTTACAAATTGGCTCCATTCGCTTGCTGTAACCAGATTTAGCTTTTTTTAAAGAAAAGGAAAGAAGTTGAAATGAATTTTTATGGTATCAGCATTATGCCACAAGAGCTATTGATTGAATTCATGTATTGAACCTGAAGTCTAAGCTAACTAAGCTAAACTTAAGGTCATTTGAGAAACGTGTCAATGGCCTAAATTGTATTTCAGCAGGCAGTGGAATAGACAAAGACACTGTGTACACACACACACACACACACACACACACACAGGCCAACTCAGTTACAGAAGACATTTCTGAGACTGTTGCCTGAGGATGTAAAGCAGAAGGTTTAGTGTGTGTGTCTATGTGAAATTGTATTTTTTGTGGTATTAAGCCTAAAAATCCTTTTAACTGCCAAGTGGTAGTAATGTAGTAAAACATAATAAAATAAAATAAAATTATTACTGTTTACAAACATACCCCAAGGTCCTTAACGGCAAAATAAATCTAAACAGAACCAATTACCCTTGAGATTTCATGGAAATGGGAGGAAAAATTCAAAAGAGCTGTTTAGCAGTATTGAAACTGTACCTCCGAATAAGACAGTATGATGACAGCTGCAAGCCACTGTTTATGCCATAAGACAGTGACAGTGTATGCGACACAAATTACACCGTTTGATTGGTGAGGAAGATCAAAGACACGCCAGCATGTTTTCATTAAATCGTCATAAACGTGTTTACAGGCCCAGCTGGCTTTGGCTAGAGGGTGTTAAATAACGCAGCGTGGTATTGTTTACTCCTCCACCGCCGTGTTCTGTCTCTCTTTCTCTCCCAGGTCTTTCCCCTCACACTCGTCTTTTTGTCAACACTGTATCCATTCTCACATAAACCACATGGCCGAGCTGTCTTCA